TGTGGAAGAACGTGGAATGGAAAAAAAAGAAAAGAAAAGAATTGTTGCTCCTAATGAGAAATGCAAAATTTTCCACCAGACAACTGCGACGGTTGGCTGAATGAATTATGTACCCTGTGAATGGAAAGGCTAGGGGTGCAGAGTCCAGGAAGGCTTGCTGTCTCTCTGCTCTGCCTCTGAAGGCAAGAGGTCAATCTCACAGCACCACAGATTCCACAGGAAGCCATAGGCTGGTACTATGCCCTTTATGTAGAGCTTGGGAAAAAAAAAAAAAAACAACACAGGACTAGAGAGGGTTGAATGCCTGTATTCTAGACCACAATCCCAATGGCTGCCCTGCTTTGCTTTACCAATCTAGGGCCAATCTAGTGACGTTGTTGAAGGGCCAGAATCCTTCATGGTCTTCGGGCTTCTCTCGGACAAAGCATTTAAGTGCCCATAGTCAGCATCTCTGCCTTTGCTGGACTGGATTTCTAGAATCACACCATGACCTCTCCTGCTTTCATGCCCCAACACTATTATTTGATGAAAAGAATCTCACCTGGAGTTCCTTAGCCCTGAGACCTAAGTTTCTAAGAAATTCACACTTTGCTCCCGGACAACAACCTCTTCAGAGTCTATCAATAATCAAGTAATTACTGACAGAATTTTTTTGACTCCCAGAGATACGGTCTGTTTAAAAAAAATAATAACTAAGGAGGTCAGTTTTATTACTTGCCTTTATTAACATCTATAAAGGAATCCCTGAAGGCCCAGGTTGAGAAGTCGCTGCTCCCTTCTGATCTAACTGAACTGTCAGCCCCTGTGGCTTATAACACTTACAAGTGTGGACTGAGGCAGAGGTGCGCAGACTTGGGATGCACAAGCCTGATAAGGAAACATCTGGGATGACCACGCAGGACCTAGCAACTGGCTTCACAATAAATTCCACAGGATTCCTTCCTCAAAAATGGGACGTGGGATGGGGTGGTGACATATTTTGCTGACTCAAGGACAAAAGAAGAAAGGCTTTTTAGAGGCAGGGGAAGCCTCATTTTCTGAATAATAACTAATATTTCAGGATAGTGTTTCAAGCAGATAAACCCTTGCCTTCTGAAGGGTGTTTGTGCATATTCTAGAAACCCTTGAAAAAAGACTGAAATGTCAGATCCGGACAAGGTTTGCTTCTGAACCAACAACAGCCGTATTTAGTGGTCCTTTCTGGCATGAAGTGGTCCTTTCTGGCTTTCAATTCCTGTTGAAGGCATTCAGTCCAGAAAGAGAAAGCAGCTGCAAAGCAGAACTGGAGTGAGGAAATAACTTGAGCTTACTTTTTTTTTTCTTCTGTACAAATCACAAATAGATTATGGGTCCAGATAAGGAGATTGGAAGATGATGGGAGGCGGGGCAGAATTGCTTACATTAAACACCACCCCCACCCTCCCTTAATCCTAAGAAGAAACACAAAGGTCAGATTTCACAAAGCACCAACTCAAGGACAAAACAAGCAAGAGCAAACATGCTTTAAGTAAGAAAATAAACAACAGCGCTAGTTTGTGGCTGTTTCTTTTTAAGAAGCTAGGAACAGTGGAAAAAAAAGATACAGAAAAACCATTCTGGACAATTCAGGACACAGATAAGAACAGAAAAATCTCTCCCTTGCGTTTGTTTTTAAAACCGAAGATGTTCATAACTTAGGTACAGTGGTTTAAGGCTTTTCTGAAGTACAGCTTTAGGTGATAAAGGCTAAAGATAAATTTGAAGAAAGGAAAAACTAATCAAGCCAACTAAGTGGATAGAGGAGAAAGGGGTTTTGTAACAACACCCAGAATTCTTAAGTACAAAACAGCAAGAAATCAATTAGGTTAGGCAGTGGTGGCACAGGTCTTTAATCACAGCATTTGAGAGGCAGAGGCAGGCGGATCTCTGTGAGTTTGAGGTCAGCCTGGTCTACAGAGTGAGTTCCAGGACAGGATCCAAAACTAAAACTACAGAGAAACCCTGTCTCAACACCCCCACCAAAAAAAAAAAAAAAGAAAAAAAAGAAAAAAAAAACACTTTAAAATGAAAGAAAAAGACAAAGGGGGAAAGTTCTCTGCCAGGCCATTCAGTACAGCTGCTGGGAGCTGCGGAAGGACACCAAGAACCTCACAGACGTCTCTCTTGGTTTTAGGAGAGTTATGACTTCAACATTGTAAAGAAGGGGAGTCCTTGACTTCCACAATAACAATGCAAATAATTGCGCCTGTAGTGTTTGTTTGAGTCAGGCCCCACACTGTCATAAACTAAACTCAAACCAAGCCGGTAGTCTAGCATCTCCCTACCTTGCAACTGTGGAAATGGGAAACTGGGGTTGTCTATGGTGGCCTTAGACTTCCGATCTTAGCTCCCCTGGAAGAATAACAAGGCTAAGATCCAAAGTGTCAGACATGAGGAAATAGGGGAAAGGACAGAGAGATTGTGTTAAACTCTTTATTTAGGCTTTAACCAGCAGCAAAGAGAAACCATTGTGCACTCTCACAAGAAACGTAACATTAATAGGTGTATCTTAGGGTTCAGGCTATGGTTGAACGATATCTTACAAAGGAGAGATTTTTAAGTTGGGAGGAGCCTTACCCTGTCTTTGCAAACATACACACCAACCATCCCTCTGGAGAGCTAACACCACCTAACAATTCAGAAGATTCCCCTACATGCCAGGCTTCTGGGGAGACTGCATACAACACCACTACAGAGGAGTACCTGGGACTTCAGGGAACAAAAACCTACTCATCCCAGAACTGTCCAATTACGATTTCCATTACTGAATAATTACGATTATTCAGCATAATTCCTGCTAGTGCAGCATTCAATAGAACCCAGAGCCATGCAGCAGCTGTGGGCACAGCGCAGGTTAGAGTCCATTAGCCTCAGAGCCCAGGCTGACCCTAGGTCCTGGGCTCACTTCACCGAATCGTGCTAAACTGATACCGCTCAGGTGGCAAGGACCAAGACCCTTTCTCTTTCTGGGCATCCCAATCTTCGTCTCTCAAGAGATCATCAGAGTTTACAGTTTTCAACTGTTCTCATTTCTCCAGCTCGAGCATCAGGGATCTGTTGCCACCAGCAGCTCATGACCCAGGATATAGGAGGATATTACTCCTGAGAGCAAGCGCAGTGTGTTTATCTTCTCACTGAGAATGGTTGTGCTACCTTAACTCTGAGGCATCTTCTGCTCTTCAGAGATATATATGGCCTAGGAGTAGACTTCTAAGTGCAAACTAAGTCGCAGACATTAGAAGCAATTCAGTAACACGTGGCTGGCTTTATGACTATATCCAAGTACACAGGAGCTGATCACCCTGCATTGAATCCCACAATCCAAAGCTCTTATTGCTCAAGAATGGCCTTTTATTATTTTGGATGTTTTAGCCTATATGATGGTGGGTCTGGTGTGTGTGTGTGTGTGTCCCTAGGAAGCAAAGGAAAGGCTTCTCCCTAGCGTTTCCAAGCAGCACAGAGGAGAGAAAAACTATAATGTATCCTTTAGGTATTAACAAGCAAATTCCCAAAGTGGGGAACATATTTCCTTCTTCAGAAATTGTCAGTTATGTGAATGAAGGTCACTACAAAAGTTTGAAGGCCTGTTAGGCCTGTGGTTTCATCTTCTTTGACCTCCATCTCCGGAACAGGAGCAAAGGAAGACAAAAGAATGTTAATATTATATGAAAATATATAACTACAGAACCACAGCAACCCATGGTGACCATGCACGAATGCATGGTTATTTTTCAGAAGACCCAGTACAAGCATGCATCTTCTTTTTTCCTTTTCTTCTTGAGAAAAGAAAATCTGCCTACCATGTACTACAGAACCTTCAACAAAATGGCTACATCATCTCCCCTCACAGCTGAAACTCCCAGGAGAATCATACATTTGGGGGGGGGGGTCACACCACACAACCACACACACTCTGCTCTGGGAACCAACTTGGAATATTTTTGCTATTGACTCTCATGGGGCCCTCTCCCAGAATTGACTTGATACCTGGAAGAACAGGAAATACTGTACCACTCTCTTTTTAAAAAGCAACGTTATGCTTAATGCATGCCTTAACAAACCGTTTGGAAACAGCAGGAGAAAGACAAGTCACAAGTCCTGGAAAGAAATTTGGCTTTCTCCCCATTGCCTGACCCAGTCTAGTCAACTCCTGAACTTCAGCACTGCGCACGCTGGAGCCCTGAGATGAGGTCTCTGTGGTGACGTTAGTAACTCCTCCCACCGCTGTGGGAAAGACCTGGATATATCCACCCACTTCGACAAAAAGTCGAAGGTAGGAAGAACTGGAGAAACATGAGTTTGTGGAAGTGGAGGCTAAGGAATTCTTTCTAAATCTGCCTGCTATGCATCCAGTTAGGTCTTTTAAACTGTGGGTGCAAAAAATATGACAGTTGGATTGCATACCTCTTGACAGTAACTTCACGGAAGTTAAATAGATGCAAATAAAACCAGAGAGCACTGGGCATCTGAGGTGAAGCAAACCGGCACGGGAGGAACCCCTAACAACCTGAAACAGAACCCCCAAAAGTCCATATTCTCAATGCGATTGCCTCATACAGCCTCAAGCATGCTGCCCCCATCTTTTCTCTTTGCTCTTCTATAGTTGAAGAGAAATAACTTCGCTTGGGACCATGTTTCCTTTTAGCTTGAGAAAACTTAGAAGGTTCAGATTGCATACCAGGAGGGGCCGCAGGAAAAGAAAGAGAAATCAGGATTAGGGTATGACAAGGAATTTAGCATTTTAGGTAGCCAATAGGCACATGTAGCACACTTTAGAGACAATGTTACTGGCCCAGCCCCCTTTTGCGAGTGAAGCTGATGCTGAGACAGAGAGCAAAGGGGACCCTGCCCAAGTCCATCTAGTCTCTGGGCGTCTACTTTCACGCACAGGACAGCCACTGTGAAAGGTAGAACGGGAGCAATGCCCCGGGGCCAGCCCTAGGAAGGGACGCGCGGACTTTAGAGGCAGACGCACTTAGTACCTTGATGTAGGCCCGCTGCAGGTAGTTGTAGGGCACTCTGCGCTGGAAGTCGCTGCGCACGTCCTCGCTGACACGGTGCCGGGACACGGGGCCGCCCAGGCGCTGTCTCTGGCAGCTGCGGGAGCAGCGAGCCCGCTCGAGCAGCGCTCGGAAGAAGGGCAGCTCGGCTCCCGGGCCGGCCCCCGGGGGTGCGAGCGGGCGGCGCGCCGCGCAGTGGCGGGCACAGCGCGTGCGGATGTCTCTCAGGCGCCGGTGGCTGCGCAGCGCGGCTTCCAGGTCACGCACCGCACGCTCGTAGTCGCCGCTGTAGTAGGCAGCCACACCGCTAGCGTAGAGCAGATCGAAGGGTTGCAGAGGACCGCGCTCGGGCTCCGGCTCCGGCTCGGGGCGGCCGTCCTGGGGGCCTCCCCACTGCGGCGCGGGCAGCAGCAGCAGCAGCAGCAGCAGCGGCAGCGACACCCACGTGCTCTCCCGCATCCTCCGCCAAACCCACCCGGGAACAGCTGCGCTCCGTGTCTGCCCCCGCCGCACCTCGCGTCCGAGCCCCGCTCCGGCTCCCCGAGCTAGCACGCCGGTCCCACCGCGAGCCTGCTGCCCGACAGCCCCAGGTGACCGGCGGCGCGCTGCGGTCCTGGAGGCGGAGGCTCGCCCGGCTGGCCGCTCTTAAAGGGACGCCTCCAACTCACACGCTCCTCCTGCCGCCCGCCGAGCCTCCGCGAGCCGCGCTCCAGCGGCCTGAGAGCTAGCGCCACGAGAGGCAAACCCCAGGGACAAGTTTTGCGTGTGGGGTCCCTTATGGGTGGCAGAAGAGGATAGTGTTGCTGTCTCTTCTGCACTTGAGGAAGTGAGGTTCACTGTCGCATTCTGCAGTCTTACTCTTCTCAGTCCTTCACCCTCCGAGGCAACATGAAGATCCATTTCAGCCTCTGTGGAACGCACTTGGGAGAGGGAGGGGCTCAGGCCAGCTGAGTAGATTTGAGGAGAGTAGATTTGGTTTGCCTAAGTTTATACAGCTAAGCATAAGCAAAAGATGGACCTAAGTCTGGGCCACAGGAATAGAAGCTTCCTGCTCTCCTCTAAGGCAAAATCTCCCCCTCTAGGAGGGCAGGGTCTCCCTCTCTCTTGCCTTCTCCTTTGGCTGTGTGTGGATGTGTTCCTGCACTGTGTATGGAGAGTGTGCTAAGGAAAGGACGATAAATGACCCGAGTTTCCTGTCCAGACCTCTGGAGGAAGGTGAAGCTGCTTCTGGCAGTTTTCCAGATGTGTGACTCTGTGCAGCAGAGCCTCAGTTACCTCTTCTAAGGCCGCCAAATGCCCAACATGTCCAGTGCTCTTTAAACATAAATCCCTATTGTGAGAGTTAAAGAAAGAGGCAGTTTAACAAACCCAGTACTCTGGGACTTAAGCAATGAGCATCAATCTAGAAGTGGGAACTCTGACAGAAACAGCTGCCAGAGTCCAGGGAACTAGCTGGAGGCTTTCCTGCTCCTCCCCTTCTCCTGGGTCATAAATACCTTCATAGCCAAGGTGTTCCCCTCTTTTCTGCTCCTTGGCTCCACACTCAGAGGGGAAAAAATGTGTGTGTGCTAGACTCTGGAGTCCAGCCTGCAATTCCCTGGTAGGAATTCTGCTTGTCTAGAATTGTCTGTGAGAATCTTATCATAGTCTCTCGAAGACTGGGAGAATGACCAATAGGAAAGAACCACATATATTGTCCAGCTGATCTGAATTTCTCAAAGAAAGGTTTTGTGTGAAATGGCAATTATGAAAGAAGGTTGCCAGAGGGTCATGCCATTTCCCTTGTTCGTTCTGTTGAGTTTTGGCACTTTGGCCATGAACCTTCCTGGCTATATAACTGATTCATGTACATATTATTTTCTCACCAAATTCTCTAATATGTCTAAGTTGTCTCTTTCTGCTGAAGCCAGAGCTCCAGTGTGGGACTTATCTTGGAGCTTGACTTGAAGCTCCAGAATTAGCATATACTTTTCCTCCTAATGATGAACTGTTCAGATGAAGACACTGGAGTCTAAACTGTATAAATCCACTTGGGGAAGGATTAGAAGCACACAGTTAGAAGTAGTGTTTGGGATACAGACCAAATGCCAAGATGCTTTTGCATATCTCAGCTCTACATAGGAGAAATTTGTGTCACTAAATGTGTGTCATTAACTTAATATCTTTAGTGCCTACCCCTGGTGTATTATTATGAGGGAAAGAAGAGATGGTCATACCAGAGTCCTTATTTCAGGGAGTTTACAGAGCTATGCAGATATGAACACAAAATTCTTAATACAAGTTAAGAATGTGGACCATCTTTAGTTGTATTGAGTGTGCTCTAGTAACAGAGGAGCTGAGCCTTCTGGCAGGACAGAGCTAAGAAACCTTGGGAGAAAAACACTGACAGAATCAAGAGCCTACCATCAGCAGTCCACAAACAAACTGCTGGATCCCGACTGGGACATGGCTTTCAAGCCTTTTGTGTATCATACTTGTGCACAGCCACAATGTAATGACAGATAATTCACTCAGATAGTGTTGAATATGTAAAGCTAGCCTGAAGGCCAGAAAAGCAAAACAGCCAGCCACTGGCTCTTACCTCTACTCAGTCAGAAATGACTATGCTGCCTCCAAGAGTCTCAGAATAAGAACATGAGTGAGAGGGCTGGAGAGATGGCTCAGCAGTTAAGAGCACTGACTGCTCTTCCTGAGGACCGGGGTTCAATTCCCAGCACCCACATGGCAGCTCACAATTGTCTGAAGATCTAGTTCCAAGGGATCTGACACCTTCACACCAATGCACATAAAATAAAGTTAAATAAACCATAAAAAATTTTTTAAAAAAGAAGAAGAATGGTTGAGTTTTTTTTTTTTTTTTAAAAAAAAAGAATGTGTGTAAGAGCTGTCTCCTCCCATTTTAAATTCCTTTCTAGTGCTGAGGTTAATGGTGTGCACAACTACTGCATGGTTTCTATGACAAACTAGATCAAAGGTGTGTGTCACTATTGTCTAGTCTGTAATAATGACTAGTGGAGCTGTTTTACTCTCTGAACTTCGGGAAAGTTTTATTTATTAAAATACAAATGAAATATCACTACAGGGATGTCTCTCTGTATACTGTGAATATGTTTTATTACCATTGGTTAAAAAAGAAGCTGATTTGGCCAATAGCCAGGCAGAATAGAACCAGGCTGGAAATCCAAAGAGAGATACAGGGAGAAAAAGGAAAGAGTCAGAGAGATGCTAGAAGCCACTGGGGAAGCAAAGATGTGCCACAAGCCTCGTGATAAAACATAGACTAATAGGAATGAGTTAATTTAAGTTTTAAGAGCTAGTTAATAATAAGCCCGAGCTAATAAGCCGAAACAGTTTGTAATTAATATTAAACATCAGAGTGATTAGTTGGGAACTGGTGGACAGGACAGAAACCTCCAATTACAAGGTAGCACCTGAGATTTTTCAGAACACCAAAATGACCTGATTAATGTAAACATTTTTATCTGGTCCCAGTTCTGAGGGATTCTGGATTTAACTGGTATGGTACAGCTAACCTAACCTATGACACCACCTAACCAATGGGATTTGCCAAAGTCGCTCTGATGCTTCTATTCTCAAACCAAGGTTGAGAACACTGTCTTTAGAGATGCCTCACATGTGCTAGGTGGCAGCGGCGCACACCTTTAATCCCAGCACTCAGGAGGCAGAGGCAGGCGGATCTATGTAAGTTTAAGGCCAGCCTGCTCTACAGAGCGAGTTCCACAAGAAGCTCCAAAGCTACTATGCCTCTCATGGAGGTGGGGCTCCATGTGGTGTGGGAATGTTCCTGAGACTAACAGGATGTTGTGTTACCTTCATGAGACTCTGGAGTAACAGGGTTTTTGATGATATGCTTCCCTAGCAAGCCCAATCTGACTCGCCTTTTGAAGTTGGACGAAAAGTTTTGGACCCCAAATTTGATAGTTCCTGGCTTATCAGATAGATCTGTGACAGGACCTCAAATTTGCCTTTTTGTCAATTTCCTTTTTGATGCTGGAACTCCGGATGCAGGATGCCATGCTTCATTATCTAGTTTCTCATATTTTGACCTTTATGGTATTACCAAAGACGAAATTAACAACAACAATAAAAAAAATTGCATTTCGAAGTGGAATCAAGCCTCCCCCCCCCCCATTTGCACTCACATCTCGGATATTCTGATACACAATGAAATCTGAGATCCTGGAATGATGTCCGCACCCAGGGGCACTTGACAATGGAAACAGTTTTCTCTGTCAGCTCAGTGGTGTGAAAGGAATATCATACAATTGGTGTCTAGGAGGTAGAAGCAAAGAATGGTGCTGAATGTCTTGTAAGGTACAGGACTAGTCTCACATTTTAAAAAACTGGCTAATAAGCCTTAAGAATCAAGGCCACAGCTAAACTTCAAGAATCTTGGGACGGTATTTAGCATTGCAAACTTTGTCCAATTCCCATGGACAAACGAGGAAGCTGAGACCCACAGGTCACAGCACTGGGACAGACAGGAAAACAATGCTTAATCGCACATAACAAAGTATAAAATGCATATGTGGGGGCCAGCCATGAAAACTAAGTCTGGGCAGGTCATCCAAAGGAAGTTTTTTACTTCCAACCATTATCACCTGGGACTCTGGCCATCGATAAATTTAAATGGAGTCTGGAGTCTCAATAGTTTACCCTGAGACAATGCCTGTGAGGCCAATCTTACCCAACCCCCATCCAAGAGCAGACCATTCAAAGGAAATTCCTGGCATTCCAAGCACTGTAGATAGAGACACCTGCCAACACTTCACTGGGACACCCTAGACAAATGTCAGCCTGAACCTCAGAGACCCTTCACCCCCACCTTTACTACTATAAAAACCCAATTCTAATTGAGCTCGAGGCTCTCAGGATATTCGAATATGTTGGACATGTGGAGAGACCGAATTTGCAAACTTGATTAAAATACAGGCTCTTTGCTTTTACATATGGGACTAGGTCTCCTTTGTTGGCTTTTGTGGGGACTCATGGATTTGGGCATAACAGGTAGTACTTTTGTGAACTGCTTCTTTCTGAAGGTGAAAGAAATGCATGAAAGGAAAAAGAAAGAAAGAAAAAAAAAAAAAAAAAAAGGAAAGAAAGAAAAAAGGAAGGAAGGAGGGAGGGAGGGAGGGAGGGAGGGAGGGAGGGAGGGAGGGAGGGAAGGAGGAAGGAGCAATGGCTTGAGACAAGAGCTACGGGGAAACCCAAACTGTTGACATTTCTGCCGAGATAGGTAACAAAGGAGAGTCAGAAACTTCAGTCTTCATTCCCGGTCCCTGCAATTTTAAAGAACAGCCAAAGCACAAGAGAGCTGATCCAGAGCCTTGAAGAGACATCCAATCAACTCCCTTTTTATTATATTTGGAATGGGTCTTGACAGAAGCTCCATCTCCCTTTGACTTCTGTTTTTAAGTCATCAACAGCTTGGGAACACTTGCTGCAGGGTTTCATCAGCAGAAAGGAATTCTGGAAAAGAGAAGATCTTCAAATGCTTCTTAGTCTCTCCCAATCAACTTAGACTTTTCAACTGTCCTCCCTTCTTAGAAAACCTTTCTGGAGAAACAAAACGTATCCTCAGACCTCAGCAGGAGATTTAATCAATGTGTTCCATAAGCAAATGCGATGCTAGTTTATTTTGATCATGTTTAACCAGCTAGGGCTCTCGTTTGCCCCAAACATCAGATGCTTATGAAATGAAAGGAATAATTCTCACTGTGCAACAACTCAGCCCGTGTTCAGCTGCTGTTGATGCTGGCGACAAGGGAGTTGTTTGGAAGACTTTTTTTTTCTTACGCAAATAGGGTCATCTGAAGCTTTTTTTCCCTCCAACCAATTTAGTGTGAAAGGCCAGTCAACAGTCTGTCAGCATATGAGAG